GATGGTAACACCATTAAATGTCAAGGGTGGTGATTAGATTGTCTCTTAGTGGAGATGGTATTTGCCTGTCATTTGTGTGATGCAAATATTACTTGCCACTCGTCAGCCCAGGTCTTTATATTGTCCAGATCTTGTTGCATTTAAACATGAACTGCTTCAGTATCTGAGGAGTTACGATGGTGCAATAATCAGCAAAAGTCATCTGGCCCGATGATGGAGGGAAGGTCATTGGTGAAGCAGCTGAAGATGGTTGGGCCTAGGACATGACCCTGAGGATGTCCCAGACCTGAGATGACAGACCTCCAACAACCAGAACCATCTTCCTACGTGCCAGTTATGACTCTAACCAGCAGAGAGTTTGCCCCCTAATCTTCATCAATTCCAGTTTTGCTAGCCTCCTTGATGCCTCATCTGGTTGAATGAGACCTTGATGTCAAAGACTGTCAATATCATCTCACTTCTGGAATTCAGCTCTTTTGTCCATGTTTGAACCAAGGCTGTAATGAGGTCAGGAGCTGAGCGGCCCTGGCGGAACCCAAACTGGGTGTCACTGAGCAGATTATTGCTGAGCAGGTGCTGCTTGATAGCACAGTTGATAACACCTTTGATCACTTTACTGATGATCGAGAGTAGACTGATGGGCCCAGTAATTGACCAGGTTGGATTTGTCCTGCTTTTTGTATATAGGACATATCTGGGCAATTTTCCATATTGTCAGTGTTGTAACTGTATTGGAACAGCTTGGCTAGGGGAGCAGCAAGTTCTGGAGCACAAGTCTTCAGTACTTTACCGGAATTATGTCAGGGCACATAACCTTGGCAGCATCCATTACCTCCAACTTAACCTGCGAGACTGCCCATGGCTATCTCCCTGTTGTGTAATTAGATGAGCCCCTTGCCTGACTGTGACCGTATCCCTTGACCATGCCGTCCTGTTTTCTGCGTTCAAATCTAAATCAGTTTTCATAAAAAGTGAACGATTTTAGTTTGCTTCGGTATGGATTCAATTCAGTGAAATGGCTTGGGAGGGTATTCAAGCAGACAAAAATGATCGCAGGAATTGATAATCTCATCTATCAAGCCTTCTCCACCTAATCAAAATGCCTACTGCAACATTATTGAATAATCCTTATTTGTCAACTGTTCAACTCTTAGAAATGAGAAAATAATAGGCAAATCCCTGTGTGAATTAAGGAGGGAACAATCTGGAAAATTCCTCTCCAACTATACTAGTTAAGTGAAACTAATGCAAGATTTCACATCGATTTACTTAAGTGTATAAAGGACAAAGAGGATTCAGCATATATCAGATCCTGGCATATATCAATTCTAACTACTAACAATTTCTACAATATTTGTTTACCCAAAACTTTGTTTCCTACCTTTTAAGTAACTTTTTTATGCTTATTGCTTCATTTCCACAAAGCACAAACCTGAAATTTTCAAAGAAACCTGATCGGAGATATGAAATGCCTTTTGAAATTCCGTGTAACTAACAACTACTGCATATCAAATTTGTCTGTTAATGACCAAGATGTAAAGTGAAACAGTGCAGCATGTGACTTAAACAACTCACCAGGTAAAATCATTTTTTAACTGAATACATTAGATTTAAATTCCCCTTTACCTTGACTGGAAAAATAAGTCAACAGTAACAATATAGCCTCTTAAAAAAGATAACCAGTCAATTACTGTACACTGGTACTTGTCCCACTGGGAGATCTGTATGTCATATGGTGCATGTGCCTTAGTGGTGTCATGGGAATATTATGTTTCATAAACTAGGAACAACATAGATTGATGATGTGCATAAGTAGAAATAGCTTTGTTGTGACAGTAATGTTCAATATTGGAAAGAGGTATCTAAAATTTCCACACTTAAATGAGACAAAAATGGAAAATGTTATGGGGTAATAGATGTAGGATTCCAAGACTGCACAGATTTATTGCAATGAACCTGGTGTAGCCAACTGTCAACTTGCTGTGCAATGTCTTGCATTGTTAAAACTCACCTGTTTGTCTTCTACATATCTGTTGAAGAAAATTCAACATCCAACATTGATTAAATTGAGCAGTTCCAAATACACATTGCTCCTAGTTGCAAAATTACAAATTGTAATTACAGCATTTGTTCCTTACTGTGGCTTTCTGTATAGACTTAGGTGTCTTTTAATATGCACTTAGAGAGCAATCAATCAACTTAATAGAGTAGAGGAAGTGCTTTGATCTGCTCTTGTGGATTCCATATAACAGTGTAAATTGACTATGTTTGTTTTATCAGTTAGCTAAAATAATTCATGCCTAATACTATAATCATGAATAGATAGAACTCCTGTTCAAACAAATATGCTTTAATTGCCTTCAATAGTTATATAATATTAGCTTTAATTTACATCTTTTGAAGTTTGTTTTAGATATTATGCAAACCAAAAGATGGAGAAGGGGCTATAAATAAGCAGTAATAGTCTGCTCTTTTTTCGACTTGTATACACTTGTTTCATTATGAAATGCCCATTATGGAGATTCAGGTTTCATAATCTAATCGTCAAAATGAATGCACATTCCAATATATCCTTGCAAATTAACATTCAATCTCCAAACACCCTAGCCTCATCAAAGTAGTCAACTGTCACTTCAAAAGTCCTTATGTTCCCCACAACAAAATTTTTGAATCTCTCCAGTCAGGCTCCTCCAACGATCTGTAAACAACTGTAGCGAACTGATTTTTGTCTCATTCCCTTTTTAAATAAACCTGTTTCCAGTGCCAAAGAAGTCAGGAGTGTGATAGAATAGTGTGATAACAGTGCGATAGAATATTCCCTACTTGCCTGGAAAAGTGTAGCTCCATCAACACTCAAGGAGCTTGTCACTCAGGCAAAGCAGCTCATTGGATTAGCACCCCATCCACTACCTTCCACATTCACTTCTTTCATCTGCTTGTAAGTGCCAGTTTCAATTATAAAGGTAACATGGGTGGATCTAGCTATTTAATGGAGATGGATCAAGTGTCAGTCAAGGAATATTTTCATAGGATCATAAGTTTTGGATTAGCTAAAGGAAAGAACATGGTTCAATCTGGAATTAAAGTTGAGGGCATAATTTGAAGTGAAAAAAGCCTTCTATAGATATTATAAATAGTGATAAAAGGGTAGTAATGACAGGGATGGTGGCAGGGATGGGAGAATGAATTGGTGAACAGAAATAGAATTGATGCATAGAAGCAAAAGTGTATGGCTGACATACTAAACGACTACTTTACATTTGTCTTTTACCACAGTCATTGTGAAGAAGGTGCTGTTTAAGATACTGGATAGATTCAAAATTGATAAATAGGATTTATTAGAAAGGCTGCTGTATTGAAAGTTATTAACTCACTAAGACTGGATGGATGCTGAGGGAAGTAAGCATCAAAATCTCAGGCTCTGGCCATAATCTTCTAATTCACCTTTGGATACAGAGACAGGGAGAGTGTGGCCAGAGAATTGGAGAATTGCACATCTTCTTCACAGAATTTGTGTAACAACGGTAGTCCCAGCATCTACAGTTTGTTTAAACTCACTAGTGGGAAAAAATTAAGAGATGATAATATGACATAAAATTAATAGTTGCTTTGATCTTGCTAATGGCGAATTGTATTAAGTAACTTGATTGGGTTCTTTGATAATGTAACAGAAACGATTGTTGGGAGTAATGGAGTTGATAATATTGACTTCCAAAAGCAGTTTAATATGTTACAATGTGATAGACTTGTCAGCAATGTCAAAGCCATGGAATAAAAGCTCAAATCATAGAACAAATACAATATTAGTTAAGTGGTAGAAAAAGAGAGGTGTGAACGATTGATATTCCAGTATGGGAAAGGTATAAAATGGGGTTCCCTAGAGTTTTGTACAAGAGCCACTGTTTTTCTTGATGTTCAAAAGTGAACTAGACATGGGTGTGAGGGCAAAATTTCAAAATTTTGAGGCTGTGGTGCATTGTGAGAGGTGTTTTGGGTGAGATGTTAAACCAGGGATTTTTCTGCCTATTTTCATAGTAATCAAAAGACTCGTGGCACTAATTGAAGGAGAATCATGAATTTTCTAACACCATCCATATAAATTAGCTTATCTTTCATCTTGTTTATTCTCTAAGATTTGTTTGGCAGTTGTATTTACCAACATCATAAAGAACTGCACTTGAGAATGAGTTCTCTGATGGTGACGTTTGTCGTGACGTCCTGAACAAGTGGTGCAGTTCTACACAAATGCACGTTCTTTCCAAATTAACTTTGGTTTCTGTTCTATGTTAATTCCATGGGGACAGACAGCAAACAGGTGGAGCTATCCTCATTGACCCCAGAAGAATGCTGCATGGGTCAACTTGCGCAGTCCACATAGCTCAAAGCAGCCCTCCAAATATTTTATTTGAAATCTTTTCCAGGAATCTTATGGTACAGCGAGTAACTTCCCTGCCTTTGAGTTAGAAGCTCTTGATTCAAAACCCACATCAGGAGTTAGTAGCCAAGGAAGTGGCAATCATGACGCTGCCAAACAGGTTGAAATGTCAACTTGTATATTATTTCATTATGTGCCAGTGGCAGGTGTTAAGAGTAGGAGTGATTCCTAGCCATCCACATGGAAGAAAAAAATTGGTGCTTTCACCATCACCAGATTCACATCTGTTTCTCCAGGCTACATAAAACATATAAAAGTGCACATTGCCACAGCAATTCAGAATCCTTAAGTGATCAGTTGCCTTAGTTGACTGGATAGCCAATGTGATTTGAACAGCATGAGGTTAGATCCCTGTTCCAGCTGGACTTGCCTCCTTGCCCAAGTTATAAAGGATAACATGGCTTTATGAGACAACCTACACTGGGGCAGAGAGCTCAAGAAGAAGAAATGTTTTCTCCTCAAGAATCCAGTGTTAAGACTTGAACCATGTGTCACATCTGGCAATTAGATAACATTGGGCTTTCATCTGTGACAATTATAATGTGTCAACCTTAATTATTTGCAGGAAAACACAGACCACAACTACTACACATCAAGAATGTATGGGCCGTCTGATTCAGAAACCAGGGAACTATGGGTGAACATGGATCAAATGGAAAAAGACAAAGTGAAGATTCATGGGATCCTTTCTAATACCCACCGGCAAGCTGCTGTAAGTGTCAGCAAACTATTATAATCAAATAAAGTACATTATTCAAATAACTAGATAAATTTAAATGATTGACTTTGAGTAAATCATCACATTATTTTGCTACATTTCTTCAGTAAACGCAAATTTATTTCTTTCAAATCATATTCGTATGCATTTATCACTAATGTACCATTAATGTAGAAAGGTGCCACAACACATTTAAATAAAAAAGAATAATGAAATCAAAGTTAGAGCTGGTAACATAAAGTGAAAGGTGAAGGTTTTTAAAGTGGAGAGAGATGTAGAAAGATGGAAGAATCTGTGAATAAAATTCCCAAGCGCCCAGCCCTGATAGCGTCTGGTAGAGCAGAGGGAGCAACTGCACTGTTTAGACTGAAAAGAAAACGAAGAGCTGCTGATGCTGGAAATCAGAATCAAAAACAAAAATTGCTAGAGAAACTCAGCAGGTCTGGCAGCATCTGTGGAGACAAAACAGAGTTAACGTTTTGGTTTCCAAAACTGAAGTTCTGAAAAAGGGCCACTGGATCCGAAAAGTTAACTTTGCTTTGTCCCCACAGTTGCTGCCAGACATGTTGAGCTTTTCCAGCTATTTCTGTTCAGAATAAAATGTTTTATCATGAAGGTTTCAATCCTTTTAATAAAGACGTATTAGTCTCGTACAAATGTGTAATAATTCTCACCTTCAGTCAGCTGAAAAAATTCTAGCAACAGGGCTGTTTTAATTTCTTTAACTACTCATTATTATGAAATGGTATAAATGAATTTTAATGATTTATTTCTCTTAAAAAAATATTATAAATACTTATTTTATTGACAAACTAATTTGATTGCTTCATGCAGAGGGTAAATTTGTCCTTCCACTTTCCATTTTATGGCCATTTCCTGACCGAGATTACTGTGGCTACTGGCGGTAAGTCCCTCTTGAATGTTAACTGTGTTTTTCTGGTGATAAGTTATTAATATGAGCAACAACAACTCATTCACTACTGCCTTCTCACACGTTGATCAAATGCCCCTAATTTTTGCTGGATCAACATTGATACCGTGGATAATGAGAATGCATTGATACTGAGAATTTACTTTAGAGATGAATTTCCTTGAGTCTTCTCTTACTGAAGGGCCATGACCATATCCCCTCCCCTTTCTGGGAGGTTTCTGTCCTTCTTGAAATTATCTTGGAACAAATTTATTGCAATATGACAATTGTATCCACTTATGTATGTGAACAATGCCAAATCATCACCAAAGTTACAATAGTACAGTGAGCAGGTTCCAAGGAAATGCAGCCTCGTAGAAATCCTATTGGCCTTGGGATATATTAGACTGCTGTACTAAATTCAAATCAGGTGTCTGAGGTGGAAGCCTTCTGATGTATCAGCCATCCATCTCCACGTGAAACCCTGCTCCTACTCTCTCAGAAATGCTCAAAATGTGTGTTCCAAAACAATGCACGTGCAAATTCAAATCTTGAATATTTTGACTGCTGTAGTTAAATATTTTGCTTTCAGGATGTTGTTGTTGATTGTCAATGCTTTAAACATTTCGAAAAAAGGATGAATCTGGGTTTCAATAGTTTCGTTGACTGTAAATAAACTGTCTAAGGTTCTTGAGTAGATTTGTAGCTCAGGTTGTGGATGATGTGGCTGATTCGCTCGCCAAGCTGGTTCGTTAGTTTGCAGACGTTTCATTACCCTGCTGGGTACCATCATCAGTGCCGCCTCCGATGAAGCGCTGTTGTGACACTGCAACTGGGTAATGAAATAATCAACACACTAAAGGAACTGAAACAGACTGGACAAATCAACAAAGCAGACTACCTAAAAATGAAACCTGAAGGGGCAATCACCCCCCGACTCTACGGCCTCCCAAAGGTACACAAACCGGAAGTGCCCCTCAGACCCATAGTCTCCCTGCCAGGCACACCAACACATAGGCTAGCCAAAGAATTACAATGAAGATTAAAGCACCTCGTCAGCAAATCGCTCCACTCAGCCCAGGAGTTCCTCAATTCCCTCAAGAATAGACGAGAACGAAACCTTGGTGTCCTTTGACATTACTGCCCTATTCACTTCGATTGACATACCACTGGCAAGAGAAACACCAGCAACACCACTGAAAGAACGAGGCCCGAGTGACACCACCTCCACAGAGAACATGCTGAAGTTACTGGGCCTGTGGCCTCATGACCCACTTTACCTTTAATGGCCAAATCTATGAACAAATCAACGGGACACCTATGGGGTCACCCATCTCTAGACTAATAGCTGAAGCGGTGATGCATAGACTTGAAAGTATGGCTGTTCCGCAGATCCAACCGAAAACTATGGATCCGATACGCGGATGACACTTTCGTCATCATCAAACAGACTAAACTAGAGGAGACACACCAACTCTCACCGGCATCTAATTCACCAGGGAAGAAGAAAAGAACGAACAGCTCCCCTTCCTGGACGTCATGGTAGAACGCAGGGCCAACCGGGAATTTCTGACAAAGGTACACAGAAAGGCCACACACACGGATCAAGCCCTGAATTTCAACAGCAACCCACCCCAACACCCACAAAGTTGCGTAAAAACACTACTTAACGAGCGACAACACAGTGCAGCAACCCAGAACTACGCCAAAATGAAGAAGAATACCTCTACCAAGTATTTAAGGACAACAGATATCCGAACAGCTGGGTCCGACGATGCCTATCACACAAATAACTACAGGAAGATACAGTACGCCCTGACACACTCATCACGTTGCCATACATCAAGAACACATCTGAACTGACCACAAGACTCCTACGACCATTAGGCATCAGAGTGGCACACAAACCTACATCAACCCTACGCCACTATGGACAGAACCAACGTGATATACAAGATTCCATGCAAGGACTGCGACAAACGTTACGTTGGACAGACAGGAAGAAAACTGGCCACAAGGATACATGAACACCAACCAGCAACAAAAAGACATGACCAGTACTCACACGGATAAGGAGAACCACCAGTTCGATTGGGACAACATCAGGATCCTAGGACAGGCCAAACAGAGACAAGCATGGGAATTTCTAGAAGGCTGGCTCTCCACCAGTACGGCCATCAATAAACATGTAGAATTGGACCCTATATATACACCACTGCGAAGAAAAACCGGAAATGAGGTAATCAATTTCAATGGACCCCAGGGTTTAAATACCAGGAGGGAAAACACAACAGCCCACAATCGGAGGCTGATGTTATTCAACAGTGTAATGAAACCTCTGCGAACTAACAAACCCACTCAGTGAGCGAACCAACCACAGTAAATGAACTGATGGTATCATGGGATGGATATACTTTATATTTTTGGAAGATATTTTATAACTTATATTGGTGTATAATTTATAGCTTTTCATACCAATTTTCTCATCAGTTATTTTTCCGTTACTAAATTTGCTGAGAGTTCCGCATGTGGGGCACCCTTCTTGTTCTATGATTAGCTTTGAAGACCTTAGAAGTTGAAAGGGTATTTAACTTCAGGAGTAAGGTCTGAAGAGAACGAAATGGACAGGACGGTTAGTTCTGTAATACCTAGTAGACATTTTACAGCCATTGTCAATAGGTAAACATGCATAAGCTAATCAGAGCTCACTTATTTTTCTCTCTTCTGGAGATACTGTGGCAGATTTTCAAACTATCTAAAATACCAACACTAAGTCTGCCTGTAGTAGGTGAATCCACAATCTTTACTTCTTAAATTGGTTTTCAGATCTCTTGAAAAATCGCAGTTTTCTACTTGCTATTTTTTTCAACATGTGATGTTAATCTGTTCAGAATCCACTGAGCGTTTTGTGCATTTTGCAGCTTTTTTCTGTGTTCGTGTGGGTATTGCGTCTTTCTTGATTTTAACTGCTGGTATCTGTTGTTCATATAAACCAAATTCAAAATTAGTGATTCTGGTGGTAGAAATGGTAATGCACATTTGTTGAGTGTAGCTGTAGCAGAAAATTATTGTCAATGCTTGATAAGACAATAAATCTGCTTTTTAATTACTTAGGTGTGCATTCCATATTATTATATGTAATTCAATATAAATAAAAAGTTGTTATATTTTATCACGTCATTGAAAAGACAGGGTATGTTGTGAAATCTGTTTTCATGCAGTCTTTAAACTGCAGTGTGTCAATGCATTATAATTATTAATATATGAATCCTGTTAATGCATTTTCTGGTCTGTGGAATTATTACAGTGATAGATGATGGCTGTGCAGTTTTTCTTTCAATCAGTAAAACCACTGCCAGTCATAAATTGTGATGAAGTTTTAAACAGATTAAATAAAATCAGAGAGCAAGCCACTAATACAATGTCATTGTCACTGTGATGTCTCTATGAAATGCTGCAGTGGTCAGAATTTGAAGGTAAGTGTTGATTGTGGATAGAACATAGAACATGGAACATTACAGCGCAGTACAGGCCCTTCGGCCCTCGATGTTGCGCCGACCTGTGAAACCAATCTGAAGCCCATCTAACCTAAACTATTCCATTATCATCCA